TATAATCACATACACATATATCACATACACATATATACACATATCATATATCACACATACACATATATCACATACACATATATCACATACACATATATCACATACACATATATCACATACACATATATCACACATACACATATATACACATACACACATACACATCACATATATCACATACACATATACATACACATATATCACATACACATATATCACATACACATATATCACATACACATATATCACTTACACATACACATATATCACATACACATATATCACATACACATATATCACACATATATCACATACACATATATCACACATACACATATGTATCACATACACATATATCACATACACATATCACATCACATATACACATATATCACATACACATACACATATATCACACATACACATATATACACACATACACATATATCACATACACATATGATATATACACATACACATACACATATATCACATACACATATAATCACATACACATATATATCACACATATATCACATACACATATATCACATACACATATATACACATACACATACACATATATCACATACACATATATCACATACACATATATACACAATATCACATACACATATATCACATACACATATATCACATACACATATATCACACACATACACATATATCACATACACATATCACACATACACATATATACACTATATCACATACACATATATACACATACACATATATCACACATATCACACACATATATCACATACACATATACACATACACATATATCACACATACACATATGTCACATACACATATATCACATACACATATATACACACATACACATATATCATACACATATATCACAATACACATATGTCACATACACATATACACATACACATATATCATACACATACACATATCATACACATATATCACACATACACATATATCACATACACATATATCACATATACAC